ACAGAGCTGGTAAATTGTTAAATTAAATATAATCTAATTACGCGAATATTCTGTAAGATTTTATCAATTAACCGAATCTTTTTAAAAGAAGCATACAAATTAGGTTTCCGAGTCATTTTGACTGGATGAAATATGACAAAATAAATCTAAATTATAGTTTAACTTTAATGAGATTAACTTTTAGTACTTTCAGCTGCAAACATGGTTGGTTTTCCATTGAAGTAAACCTTTATTTTTATCATACAACATATGGTTCCCGGTTTGTCATCAACCGATCTTTTACATCTTCAATGATTAAAGCTATGTTAAGCTTTTCCATGTCAAACGCTTTATGAGATTATCAGATTACAGCAGACGATATGTATTCAAACATTATGCATGTATTGTTTCACTGTAAATGTATCAAAGTCCTCCTCGTGAAATCAAAGCAGAAGAGATGTTTATATTGCAGACTCGGTTTTACTGTGTCTTTTCTTTACAGATAATGTAATATGCTAAAATCTCTCAAGCTCCCTAGCACCGGCTGAAGCTGTAGTGTTGAACAATTAAAGTATTTGAATCCATGATCCCGGATGACTACATTGGTATGAAGCACGGAACACATTTTTACGGCTGATCAATTAAGTCTACTTCTAAATCTGTGAAATAAGATATGCATGTTCATTGGTTGTATTGTTGAAAAATTATTTCGAGGACCTTCCTTCTAAATTAACTTATTTCTTTTTAATTCTGCTCTGAAATAAGGTTGTACCGATTTATCTGTAAGATATTATTACACATGATCCTGCATATTACACACGAAACTAATCCTTAAAAACATCCGATAGATCTATGCATTTTCTTTTAATTACTTTTAGATATTATTGTTATTATTATTATTCATAATCCAAAATCTAATATTTTATGTAGAATTTTTATGTATCTTTGCCGCACTGCTACTTAAATAGGCATTAATTATACTTAGAGCCGAAGCTTTTTGTCGCTTATGAAAAGTACCTGTCAAACAACACAGCCCGCCTGGCATTTGTAATTAGGAATCAAAGAAACTTGAGGGTAACGTGATCCGTTTAATCTGCAAAGTTGGTGTAAGGAAAGGGGTTCTTTAAACGCCGTATCCGTTTCAAAGGAAACTTGATACGGCGTGGTATATATTAATACGAATATTCTTTCAGATAAATATTAAGAAAATTAAAAGATGCTAATAAATTTGGCATATCAGTTCATCTCTTATCCCGGGCAGCAAAGATATGTTAAATATTATAGTGGTATTTTCTTTGGTAATCATATTAGCTTTTAACTCCGTATTTAAACGCATTCATCTACAGGTTATGTTTAAGAAAAAACTTTTAATACCGGGCTTGGGAAACTTCTTTATTACAAAACAGGCGTGTTGAGGAATATTAATGAGACAATTATTTCATTATGAATATTATTAATAAAAGGTTTTGATATAAAAATTACACAAGATGTTATCGCGAGAGCAGAATGAGGAAATTTATTATCTCTTTTTTGGTTTAGACCTTCTATTTTATGTTGATATTAAAATTTAAATCATGGTGAATGAAGTGTATTTTGTTTGTTATTATTACCTCATCATTTACATTAATCTGATCAAGGTGTTATAGGTAGGTTTGGCTTGTACAGTATACATACTTTTATCTTCTAATTGAGGCTTGGCAAACTTTTCCTTTATCACAACAATAGCAAGGTATTGTAAGAAGCTACAAAACGTGTAGCTCTCAAAGATATTTAACATCACTTAATTTTACACACAAAAAGAATGTCAGCTTAAAGGGACTCTGCTGAGGTTTTTATAACATGGCGGGACTATTGTTAATATTTTAGATGAATTTTCTATTTAATGTAGGTCCCGACCAATGACCTATGATTAAAATTTCAAATCATTCGCTCACTCCGTTTTTCAAGAATAATTATTCTAATTGTGAAGGAACTTTTTCAAGACTAATTATTCTAATTGTGAAAGAATTAACAAAAATGAAAAGCGTTGCAACGCTTTTCACTCATACCAGGCTACAGGGCTAAGAATACACACAAAAAAATCGATAATATTTTGCATATTTTTTTATTTATGTTAAAAAAATCAAAAATGTTTCTCGGCTTTTGGACCTCAGTAGAGTTCCTTTAACCACCTTATGAAGACATTGATTACTAGATATAGCGGTCATATAAATATGTCATGATTCTATCTTAAAACAAGAGCATTAAAAGAGCCGATTAAGATGAAGAATTTCTAGAATTTAAGTCATAATTTGATTTTCGTTTTCTTTAATTATACAAATGAGCCGCGTCACTACAAAACCAACATAATGGGTTTGCGACAGGCATGGATCCAGACCAGCCTTCGCATCCGCACAGTCTGATCAGGATCCATGCTGTTCGTTATCAGATTCTCTACTTGTAATAGAGTTGGTAAGCAATGTATGTCATAGAGAGGGAGGAAGCATGTTTTCAGTATTTGAAAGATGCGTGGATAACCTATCATTTGCTTTTTTTGGTATTGTGTTCATAGCTCCTGCCAATCGTTGGTGTTGGTTATTATTACTATGATGTTGTGATAATGATGATGATGGCGATGTTATTCTTGTTGGTGATGATGATGATGATGATGATAATGATGATGATGATGATGATGATGTTGTTGTTGTTGTTGTTGTCGGTGGTGGTGGTGGTGGTGGTGATGATGATGATGATGATGACAAAGCAGCGTCAAAACCGTCCCGATGTTTCAAATGGAAGGGACATAAGTCAATTTAAAACCGAATAAAAAACGCCAAGCAGATAAAGAGTTAATCCCCTTTAAGAGTCCCATTCAAAACTGGTTTAAAGTATGTCGAATTCAATCCTTAATATTTTAAGTTTTAAACAAGATAATGCAGTTATTCATGTATATACACATGTTGTCTTATAAACATTTTTTTTTCAAATGGAAACTTTCTCAACAATAAATTTTGGGAAATCGATCTCGATCGGGAATATACTGTATTCATATTCATCTAATATAAGTATTTCGTAAATATTCGTATGATTAAGCATATAAATTATTCGTTTCTTTTAAAGTATTTTTTATTAATTATAGGTTGGACATAACTTGAATATATTTGGTAGTACAATGGCGCGCTATATGTTAGCGTTACGCTATAGGCGCGTGAATAAAAAGTGATTACATGTTTTTAAGAGTAAACAGTTCTTACTTTGGATAAGTGATTAATAAAATATTATATTCCTGTAACTAATAGATTTATTCACAGGAGATTGACAGTCTATCAATAACTGAAAAATATGAGCAAATAATCAAAAACATAACGGCAAATGTACCCTTCCAGTTTATTTATAGTATAGAGGGGTACATTTATCGTTATTTTTTAAATTTTTGCTTATATTTTTCAATTATTGATAGACTGTCAATCTCCTGTGATTTATTGAACTCGTCGGATAAAATAAGATTATGCCCGTTCAATAAATTTAGTATTGACCTTACACTCATTCAATATCTTCTAATATATTGGCCGCTACAACGTCAAGAAATGTGAGGCTATTTTCTTTTATGCTAACCAGGAAGGGTCTTGGTTTTATGCATGTGATAAAATCTACATCACCCACAGTATATTATGCTGGCTGATTTTGTACACGTTGTGCGTTGCGTTGTCGATAGCGACAACACAACCTATATCGTTATCGCCTTTTCGTCTTGTCGCAAGCGAAACGCGCCAAATGGCGCGTTATCGCACTGTCGTCTTGTCGTCCTTTCTCTAGCAAATCACGCCAAATAGCGTGTTGTCGTGCGGCGCGTTTTCGCGATGCCTCCCTGTCGCTTGGCTTATAAGCCAATCCTTCGATTTGAGTCGAGCGACAAAGTGACATCGCGACAACACGTCGCACGGCAATGCATCGTTAGCGACAGGACGAAAAAACGAAAGTCCGACAACGCGCCATTTGGCGCTTTGTCGTGCTGTCGCTAGCGACAACATAACGCACAAAAGCGTTCCAAAGCAGCCACCAAAGTATATTACTCATAATGTATGAAATATAGCTCTTCCGAAATATTTTTGGCTTCATTTTCATGATTCCGTAAATTAACATTAACATAAAAGTTAATTGTTACGATTTGTTCTAACACATTTCTCTATTTAAAAATATTATTACTTCTCTCAAATTATTCTTACTCTAGTTACTCCGCGTGATGACGTCAGTCTTGTATTACTTTTGCATGGCAGCGTTCGCGTAGCCGTTGAACGCTTGGCCCCATCTTTAGAAAATGTGTTAGTTTTTCGTGAATAAGTAAGAAAATATAAACATTTTGGAAATGGAAATGTTCTCACTACTCCGTGTTATATAATTTTACACATGTAGCACTGTTTGAAACAGTGAAATTTCCACTTTGATAATTTCACTGTTTTGAATTTAAGCCCCTTACGTTGTTTTAGTGAAATACCAGCGTGCACAGTACTGGGTACCAACTTAATGACGTGACGTCGTAAATGACGTCACGTTGAATTATTATTTGGCGCGCTTTTCATTCAGTATCAGGTTTAATGTCTTTTTAAAAGGTTTCTTTTCATATGATAAAAAGAAAATTTGTTTAGTTTAGTGTAAGATCGAAATATATTTCACCTTTGATTTATCTAATACTTATGAATGAAATATTGAGAAATATTGATGAAATAAAATGCGTATTTTCAGTTTCCGTATTTTCACTGTAAAAAATATGTTCCACTGCAGTGAAACATATTTTCCGTATTTTCACTGGTGTCTTGCCGCACTACTATTTTTCCTAAATTCAGCCAAAAGGGAAATCTTTCAAATGGTAATGCAAATAAAAAGATTTCATCTTGTGGTATGAAAATTATCATATTTCACTCGTGGCTATCGCCACAAGTGAAATATTTATTTTCATACCACTCAATGAAAATAAAACCTGTATTTATAGAAAAAACTTAAATATCCTCTGTTTATTAAGTATTTTTCATACAAATTGGGGAAGGGAAATGAGTGTAAAATACTGAAATCCTGCTCGTGCATACGTTTATGAAATCGAAACTGTTTAAGATCATAGTACAAATATAAGCAAAATTATCTTCAAAACAAATATAGCATTTTGATAATATTGTGAATTCTATTGAATTTTAATCATTAAGCTATCGGAATACGACGATAACTTTATGCAAATTACAAATGAAATATACATGGAATGTTTATTTTCCTAGCCTAATTTGTATAAAGATAAGTTGGAAATATGAGTATTAATTTACCCCGCAACCATGATTTGCAGTTGCAACTTGTATCGTATCATTTTACTGTAAAGTACAGAGGAAATATGAATTTTAGTGTTTTCTTTAATATGAAAAAACACGAGTAATGATGCAATTAAAAAGTGATAACTAAAGACCGTAAAAAGTTATTTTGAATGAAAACACAGGAGTTTCGGATCATTAATTATTAATAGACCATTTTGTAAAAAAAAGTGAGATTAAACATATTGAATCTAAATTACTTTCAATCAAACTTATGACGATACATTAACTACACGAACATAAAACTTGGAAAAACTTGCACCCCCAAAATGCCTGGATTTTTAGTGGGCGTCGGAAAGGCGGGGGATGTGGCAGAACGCTCTCCGGCGGTAATATCCGCCAACCTCAAAGAAGATATGCTGCTACAGAAGAAGATGGTGGTGTTAAACCGGTCTGAGAGAAGTGTGGTGCATCAGATCAAGGTGGATCAAAAAGTCATGTACAAAAGGTTCCAGGCTCGTTTAACGTGCTCTAAGCTTGCGCATGCGCGTCTTATGGGGGAAACAAAACTTCAAATGCAGCTGAGAGCTAAGACGCTAGGTACACTTAACACTGACATTGCAGGAAACTGTGATGAAGACTATGCATTTCTTGAAAAATTAGAACAAAGGCCATGTACATCGAGCTCATTCTCACCACGTGGTGAATACAAGCCTCCACTTTGGAAACAGTCTGAAGACACCAAACAGTGCGTTCATCCTAAATCAATACTTAATACAAAGAAAGAGAGATCTTCATCGGCTCGAGCATCATTTAGTAACAGAAATATAACGGAAAATAAGGAAACGAAAGATAAGAGAAGAGAAAGTAATACTGAATCGTTGCCTAGTGACAGAGCTCCAAAACTACGTCCAGCAACTACACTTGGAACGAGAGTTGAGAACGAGTTCAATCGTCATCAGAGAAATATGGTAAAACAAGAAAATAATACAGAAGGAAGTCTGACGGAAGTGGAAAATGGCGTAGATAAAAGCGAGTCGCTCTCAAGTGCTAGAACAGGTATGGAGGGCGAAGACAACACTAATAGTTTGGGTGACAAACATACCGACACTTCAGATGATAGTATTGACGATGTTAAAAACAAACCTAACGTTGCATTCCTTGAACACTTTGATTTTACTGATAATCGTCCTAAAACAGTTGCCGATATTTCACAATGGAATACTTCTATCCCGACTTCACCCACATCACCTAAACAAATGTCTCGCCGGACCAGTAAAGCAGCCGATTTCTTCCAGGCAGAAGAGAAAGTAGATATGGTTGCTTTAAGACTTCAAGAAGCGAAGACACTAGACTTCACAGAAAATGTACACAAATTTTGTGAAGAGCTAGAAGAAATGAAGTGTTCACGCACGCGCCCTGACATAGATTACTACTCTATGCGACTTCAAATGTCGTTGGATCAAGCACATTCAAAGTCTCTCGTTGAAGTACCTGGGACGCCTGAGGATGAACATGCAAGATCTATGGGAAATCTATTCGTTAAAAGTTTAACCTTGCCTCCAATTAACTTTTATACCGATTAGATTGATAGTTTCCTTTAGTTAGATATGTTGTGTTGAGGGACAATAGAGACAAACTGTTAATAGCAGACTTACCACCTATATAGTTGTCAATTATATTCCCATTTTATTGTAGTTGCTGTTGTTGTTGCTGCTGCTGATGCTCTGCTGTTGAGAAATATTTCAAAGAACTTTGTTGAAATAAAAAGATTGAATGTTTTAAGTAAATTCGAAAGTTTTAGAAAAAATAGAAATTTGTGCCAGATTTTAAGGTATATTCTGACGTTGATTTTATATGTTGTGCTGTTGCATTTGCGAGAATGTGCTGCTACTATAACCAATTACTGTATATTATTTAGATAAAAGATTTGAACAATGTTCTCGTTTTATGAGAAGACAATCATCTTTTTATGTTTATTTTTTCTGTGGCATGCATAAACAAAAATGTAACAGGCAAATTGATTAAAACGTACATTTTTATTGACTAGTAACGGTAACTCAATCACGTATTTGATATCTTTGAGGGAAGTATTGTGTCCCCTGTATTAGGGCATAATGGAGGTACAATATCACTGTAGGCCACAATGATAGAGTTAACATTCGTTGATTCTACCGCGCCGGGTACGTTAGTACAATCTTCGCAGTTATTGAATTGACTAAACTCGTCACATAGTTTTATTGGAGATCTGCTCATTCTTTCATCTATATAATGACTTTCAACAATCGGAGAATTTAGAATTTCCTGCAGGTCGAAGTCTGTTAAATCTCTGTCGACTGTTAGTTGTTTGTATGTGGAAAATTCTCCTACCGGAAATGGGCAAGTGTCGTCTGATGCAGTACTGTAGGCGCTCGTGCTGCTGTCAGTTGACCGGCATGATTGCATACCTGAGTCATCATCCTCTAAACTGCTGTAACCGGTCAGAGTGGAGTTTGATGCGACATTATCAATTGTTTCTTGTTTTATATGCACAGATGTGTCTTCGTTGTCATGGCGATTATTTTCATGCTCCTCGTTCTTGTGATTGCAACCAGCACCTTTACCCTCCTCCTAAATGAAAACCTAAATTGAATAATTTTGAATACTAATACGGGTACATAAATGATACATTAGCAGAAAGTTAATATCTACTTTGTGTCTATTGTATATTGTCGTCTGCTGGTGTTATATTGATGATATGAGTTTCCTTGCCAGTTTTATTTCATCCCAAAGCTTTTATTTATCTTATTTATAAATTATCTTTTATTTAAGTCTCATTGGCAAACTATTCATACACGCATACATAACGTTTATACAAATCCCCACATAGCCATTCCTAGGTTGAATATTTTGAGAACATAAGTATTAGGTTCAGACTTTAACATTCTACACATAATCTTGAAAATAGAAATGAACCAGTCCTTACTAAACCATTACATTACAAGTGGCAACAGTTATGACATGGATGTAACAGTACGAGGGTTGTTGCAATAAGTCGTACACAACTGCTTTAACATTTAGTATATGTATAATTTCTTGAAATAGTGTTTATTATAGTTCAAATTGACGGAGATACACTTGTTCCAAATTATTAAAGGTTCTCCCTTTAAAAAATATTACAGTCATTGTCCACGACTTTGTGGGGCAACCCTCGTAATAAGAAATAAAGATTACAACTTTCACCAAAACGTAATGCATTTTGTAAAGTTCAATGCAGTAAATTAGCTAATGTATTATTCTTTCGAGAATTAAAAACAAACATTATTTTCAAATTCATATATCTGTATATTGCATTTGTACCAACTTAAATGTTACCCTCTGTTATAGTACATATTTACTATATTTCCTGTAAATATGATACACAATAAAACACAAAGGAAAAAGTTGTTACATTTAAGATATTGTTTTGTAGAATGTTCTGTAAGTGCTCAATATACATGCTCTTAATCGCTGTAAACTACCTGCGTATTTATTGCAATGCATGTATAATAGATTTAAAATATCTTGAAGTTCATGTTTTGTGAAGTTTGCAAATAATATAATTAAACACACTATTACAAATGCGTTGCAAGTGCACAGTTTACATCAGTTAAAACTGATCTACAAATGTAGACGAAAATAACAGGAAAATAAATGTAAATTTATATAAACTGATTTAACATCAACCGAGTGATTCAAAATGAGTCTTAATTAGCACATTTGTATGTTATTCTGGGAGTGCACTTCATGGACTAACCGAGGAATCAATTGAGGCAAAGGTAATGGCCATAGCATGGCTCGAACCCATGATCATATCCTGGACAAGCATTGAACTTTAAGTATTTAACACAGCTCATTCTTATATAAAAATATTTGAAAATGACTAGTACTAGTAAAACTTCAACTCACCTTACTAAGTTTTCTTTTTCTCTCGTAATAAATCAATGCAAGTAAGGAAACGACAAATGCAGAACCAAATAATTGCAAGTATGGAGTTGTTTTCCGCATGTTTCCGGATGTTGTTAACGTTGGCGCCATATGACGTCAGACGTTACGAAGACGTATCGATATGTAGAAATTTACTTCAATATGTATACGTCGTTTAATCTAACTATTTTTAAAGGGCATTTTTGTAATTTCTCATTGATCATGGAACAGAACAATGTAAATTGGTGAAAAGCAATTCTGCAAGATATTTGAATAAGTACATGTGCAATGGCAAAGTCCCGTTACTAATAAATACATTTATCACACACCCGTGCCGATTTTGCGATTCCGTAAATATGGTATTGCACGGCCGTGCATATATTTTGACGCGACGTCATTAGCGTTATACAAACATAGTGTAAAGACGCGCTAAATGTTAACGTTATACTATAGGCGCGTCAATGTAAAATTACTCTTATTTCACTTTAAACGGTCTTTATTTTTGGTATGTGATAAATAGAATATTAAATTCGTGTAAGTTCAATACTGAATTCATTGCACTCGTTGAATAAAATAATATTATGCTCGCCACAGGCTCGCATAATATAATTTTATTCAACTCGTGCAATAAATTCAGTATTAAACTTACACTCATTTAATATCCTCTATTTATAACCAGTTCCATATACTCAATGTTAATTAGTTTGTTTTGTTACTTACAAATGAAAAAGCTGGCTACGATATTATTATATATTATATCAACCCTAAAGATGATCCGCATTTTCAAAAAAACCAGCTGAGTGACAGTTTAAATATGATTGTGTTTGGAAAATTATTATAATTTTTCATTATTTTATTATTATTTTTGGACCCCATTGGAATAATCTTTTAGCAATTCTAGGGTAGCATAAGACATACATACTACTTAATTTATATAATAATATTTTTGTTGATTTTTATATATGTGACAATATAGTTTGTGTTTACGTATATTTCCCTGAAAAAAATCAATACGATACAATTTAGTTAGGTTTGTGGATACGGGAAAAGGCGCGTGCAAACCATGTGTATTTAGCGCCAGTGTCATTAATGTTGACCCAGAAATCAGTAAATAAGTGTAGGTTCAACACTAAATTTATTGAATGAGTTGAATAAAATTATATTATGCGAGCCTCAGGCGAGGAAAATATTATTTTATTCAACGAGTTCAATAAATTCAGTAATGAACCTATCTATATAATTTTTTTTATCACATACCCTAAAATTTATAGTTATAGTGCAAAAGAATGATTGTTCATTGACGCACCCGCTAATATTACGTGCGTTTTAATAACGCTTTGCTTATATAACGCAAATGGCGTCACGTCAAAATATATGCACAGCCGTGCAATACCGTTTTTACAGAGTCGCAAAAGCGGCACGGGTATGTGATAAATCATATCAATAATGACATTTTAATATCATATTGTATTTAACATATTAACTATGTAAAGAGATTATCAGTGTATACTTATATATTAATCCTATCAACTTTCTGTAGTATTTAATCAGTGACCGGGTTCAGGTCTACGCTAAATAATCCCTTATTTCAGATGTAGAACAGACTTTACTCCAAGCGACGATAAGTCGACTAAGTAAAATTGCCGACTGAATAAATTTTGTACTGAAAGACAATTGTCTTAATTTGATATATTTAAGTAAATGCATAAAGTTATTTTTATTTTCTTCTCCGAGAGAGAGGTGTAAACGTATCTGTTTCTTAACTTTAAGAATCGCTAGTTCGAACTCTTCTTGGGTAACGGCCATGTTTCACTTATTTACTATGATATTCCTGCTAGATTTATATATTAAATTATCTGGAAATAGATCTATTCCTTTGCTATTATTCTTCGCCTGTTGCTATATAATATCTTTGGATATTTAGAACTTGAAACGCTTCGGACGCTTTGTTAAATTGTTCCGCCGCATAATTTAGTGATATTTTAGGATGACTTTTAGCCGCTACATAAATAGTGTAACTTTAAACGTTCAAATCGATATAAATATTAACATGCCCTTTTCAGGAAACCGATAAAAATCAATCACTTTATTGACTGTATCTACAATACTTGATCATTGTATAAATGTATATTCAATTTGGCACTATCGGCCCTATTTAACATTACAATAGATTTTAAATTACAAGTATCGGCTAATATAAATTGTAAGGTATCAAGTTGACTAGCTAAAGTGCATTTTATTCTTCGCGGATTGTGCTTGTTTTGTTTCGTATACATGTGTTGAATTAAACGCTCGATTCTATCCTCTCTCTGTCAAAAACAGTATGCGAGACATGTGGAATAAAGGAATACATTAACAGTCTTTATATGCACAAAACCAGGGTGTCAGGTAGGAATAAGTTGCTTAATGTGTAATAAAAAAGAAAAGACTGTGTTCGATGGGGGAAAAGATAATTTTCTATATTTTTGCTTTGAAGTAATCATAGCACACCTGACATAAAAAACATAAGAGCGGAAATACCAGGACAAAAATTACAGATTTATGGTTTCCTATTTTTTCATGGCTATTACGAGGGAATTTACATTATACTTTGTGTTAAAGTAGTTAATGTTTAAATATTATATGCTTTATGCAAATTACATAATGTTTTGATGATTTGGGATAGGATAAGATAAGATATGATAAGATAACGATCGTAGTTAAACAACTGATAAGAAAAGACAGGAAACATTACTGTCAACTTATATGCAGAATGCTTAAGATTTATTCACATTCTGACAAAACATTTTATTACAATTGCGATCTTAAATTTTCAATGGTGATTTTTTTAAAGTCTTACAGACTAAAGCGCCACCTGTACTCAGTTTTATCACATCTTAGACATCGTGATGAGATAACAGGATAGATAAATATCGACTTTTTCACTGTAGATCTTAACTTATAAAGATAAACACCGACCTTTAAACCCGTTATCCTATTTGTCAATAATATTTCTATGGTCCCAAACAAAACCAGAGCCCAAATTATTGCAAAATTACATTAACCACATTAAATATCCCAAACCCATTACAATGGTATATAGATATTATATTGAAATATTTTTGTTCGCTGTAGTGTATTAGTAATAGAATATATTATAAAGCCATAAACAAATGAGATTTAATCTTTAATGCATGCATTTATGTCTACAAAAAGGGATTTATCTTATCGCACGAAATTGTCGAACTTTAAATTAATAAACGTCTGAGATTTGAAACAGATAAAAACAGTTCAACATTTGAGGAAAAAAAATCATGATTAAAGATACAGTTTAAAATAGTTTGACTTTATGTTCATCTATACCAATAAACCTTGAACAAAATCTATAAAACGGTTAACCTCTGTTATTATCCATCTACTTTTCAGCTGCGGGGACAAGTTTTTACAGTTGTGATTTAATGGTGAAAGATCGGATCTTTAATACAAAAATGGTAAGTATTTTTAGCTTGGTTAACTGCTGTTTATTATTTGTTATAGTATTGTTACGGTAACTAAATGCAGCATTTGTATTCAGTCTGAATTATTTAAGTTTAATTTGCACCATTGAGCTTTACCCGTAAGGGAAAATTCACGGTATAAATAGGATAGGAAAGGTTTATATTTTCCTGTCAGCACATGTGGAAATCTTGTCCTATCTCCGGAAGTTACTTTTAAATTTACTTTGCTACCTCTCCCAGTCTGAATCACAATGTTTTTTTAGTCTTGATTTCAAAGCATTTTTTAATATCTGACCTAGAACAATGGAGTCGTATCCTGTAAGTACTGTCAATGACTAGCAACATATCACCACTCAGTGCAGTTTAAATCCCATAATTGCGGCCAGAGATTGCAAACTTCTTGATTTTTGTTCAGTAGCATTCTTCGGATTTTCCTCTCCTCAATTTTTCTTAAAATTCACATCCACGTCAAAGACAAAGTAATTCAGAGCACAATGAACTTGTTCAGATGAGATATCATTAAGGAAGTTGTAGACAATTTAGCATCTTTATATCGTCCTAACATTTTTCAATTACATACATCAATAAAGACACTCTTGAACGGCACGATTTAAACGATATTGTTTCCGTATATCAAATGTTTGATAAAAAAAAATGTAATATAACCCTCAACTTGAAGACTTAGTTTATCTGTATCACTTTAAAACTTGTTAGATGTTGAAGTCAACGGCAAGTAAATATACTCAAGATAAGAGTACTCTGTCTTTGATAACAGCGCAAAGTAACTTCCGTCTGCTGATCTCATTGGTAAGTTCGCGATTTATTTACGGACACAGGACTCAGTTCTATGAGATATCTGCTATTTTTTAAGGGTTTCCGGGAGTTAAGCATTGTAAAAATTTATAACTGAAATTTCGTTTCTTGGGCAGATAATAAAAAGCAGTGGTTTCAAGTAGTCATTTTCGTTTAAACCAATCGCAACTTTTTGGGCCTTTCCTTATGTTGACGTTTATAATGCGGCCTTTTAGCATGTCGCAGTTGGATGTATACGTAATAACTGCGTGTCGCAAATGTTACTTTCCTGTCATAATTAATATATTATGTAAACTGCGTGTCTTAATTTAAATACAAAATTTGTAGATCTACCATATCCAAATAAACCGGTTTTTTTCCCTTATTTTTCTTATCGATACGTTGTACAGTGTTTAAACATTACATGTATGTGATTTACCTTTTTAGAAAAATATCAATTCATAATTTTTCAAATGACATGCTGCACTTTTGACCTGAATCATTTATGCATTTTATAGAAACCAGACTTGCTTATTTTACAAGCATTCAAAGCTATCTAAACAAACTAGCTTTGAAGTGCTTTTCAAGTTTACAAACCCATTTAAATTGAAACACTTATCAAAATAATGGCTAAATATCGGTTAAACATAATGTTATTTTCATATTACTTACACATAAAAGAATACTAAAATCTAGACCTACCCATTGTAAAGTTTACAAAGTGACGATAAATCTGTCTGTATATATTTGGTCAACAATTTATCTCTTTACTCGGCATTTAATTATTTCATATTTATATATATGTTATTTCCTTTCCTTTATATATCAAATTTTAAAGTGCTTATTAGATTAACCACATACGTATGTTTACATGTAAAACATAAAGAAATACATACATGAACATTATAAAATAAGAAATTTGCGAGTTTTGATACTGCACGGCTTCAAACAGCAGACGTTACATACACAAATGTAAATGAATGTATCACTTCCTTAAAAAAAGAACAAAAAAACAACAATAAAATTAATTTAAAACAAATGATTAAACGAGCATACAAGAAATTTGCATGGAAGAACTACGCAAATGTGTCGTTTTGATATTTTTGTTAAGAAGCAAACAACAAACGACAATGGATCGTTTCAGTTAAGAGTTTATATGAGCCGCGTCACGACAAAACCAACATAGTGTGTTTGCGACCAGCATGGATCCAGACCAGCCTGCTCATCCGCGCAGTCTGATCAGGATCCATGCTGTTCGCTTACCAACCCTATTACAAGTAGAGAAACTGATAGCGAACAGCATGGATCCTGATCAGACTGCGCTGATCGGCAGGCTGGTCTGGATCCATGCTGGTCGCAAATCAATTATGTTGGTTTTGTCGTGACGCGGCTCATATGTTGTTGAATTCATTTTTATATAATTATGATTGTTGTTGTTGTAGTTGTTTCTTCTTTTTTTATACTTTTTTTAACAACGGTCATTAAATTGCTTACGTGTGAACGAGATTTTAATAATCACTCAACACGTGTGAAATCTATAATATCATTTAGATATTTAATAACTCTAGTCATAATATTTTTAGACAAATTTAACAATTTTATTATATTCTCAACGCTAGACCTATTTCATTTTCAATAATTCAATAGTGGCTCAAGAACTCATGTTTTTTATCCTTAAAAGCTGTTATTACAAAGATCTTTTTTCTGTAATGGTTAACATTTTTAATTCAATGACGGATTAACAAGTTTAAATACTATGTTTATATTTAGGATAGATCTATTACCGAATTTACATAAGTTTCAATCAAAGTTCACACCGCATAGGGATCAAGATAAGCGTCCGTCTCAATCAATTGCTCAAAAAATATAAATACAGTCGAGATATGGTAATAGGCATATTCATGGATATCATAAAAAGGTATATATCTATATATACATCAGCAAGCTTAAAGTCTGCCTATTAAATCACAAGTTGTCATTAATCTTTATCCAGGAAAAAGTGTTGCCGATTTTTTTGTACAAGCTTTTTACTACATGATGCTTGTAGATGATTAGATAAGATAATAAAAACGATCAATCAAAGTTCTTTCATGAAGCACTGCCAAAGCCAAGTAAAGAACAGTTTTATTAGTTATAGAAGTATCAGTACAGAAGTAATTGCAAACAAACTGTCCGAAAAGTCTTGTACTTGGTAAACCTAGCGTTTTAGGGGCTCAAATAACCATAAGTGGCGGTATGGCCGAGTGGCTAATGTGTCGAACTATTAATCTAAGATCGCTTACCTCGTGGGTGTGGCAAGCCTCTGTTTCCTTGAGCAAGAAACTTTTCACTCATTGCTCATTACTACTGGAACCTACCAGGAACGGACTATAAGCTTATAGCTTCATACTTAATCAAACTTAAACAGAAAAACCTAAGATCGCACGATCAACCTATAACATATAAAGGTAATATTTGTATGTATGCTGTAATGTTTTTTAAGTCCTTTAGTTATCAAAGCATAACTTAGTTAAACTATGTTAGATAACTAGGTTTATCAAAGACGCGAATGAAAACAGTGAATTGATGTTGCGAATAAGATAAGCGTTGAAAAGAATCTCAAGTCTTCTGATATACAATTATTTTATTTTTAATTAAGAATAGTATCAATGATAATTGTAGGTTAACCTTTGTTTGAATCTTCTAATTAAACACGGTCACGATATATGGCTATGGTGATACCGGAATCCGGTGACAAATTGAATACTTTCACGTACTCGTATAGAACAGTTGCTTTAAATATATACCTTTCTACTTGTTCATACAACTTGTTAAGTTCGTGGCTATTGATCTATTAGTAAAAATATTGTGGCTATCTCTTATCTATCCCTAAGTCAATGATCTATCTCTATATGCCGTATATATAAACCATTCTCATCTTGTTCCCTCTATCATACTCACTATATGGAAGACACTGTTAGTTGTCATTAATTTTAACTGTATCTTTAATGCAAGTAAATTTGATTGAAATAAATCAGGGAATACTTTTGGATTGTTAGAGCAAAAAGGTAAAAAAGTTAAGTATGACAAAATGTTAATATTATCTATTTGATGCATTCTATATTTTTATTGTACCAACGTAGTTTGATATTATAATATTTAAGCAGCTAGGAAAATAGTTCGAAATTCTAGAATGCGAATATATTGCGAGTGAGGTGGGGGTGTGGGTAGAAGTTTGTGTGTAGTAGTCGGGGTGCGGGAGCCGTGACGGTGCCAGTGCTGTAGCATTGTCGATGTAATTAGTTAAATACTACATAACTTAAGTTAAATACTACATAACTTAAGTTAAATACTACATAACTTAACACTTCTTTAAATAATTGTTTTAAGAATGTATACATTGCATGACGTAAGTTTTCTAAATATTGTGATGAAGTCAAAATATATCATTGAGATGATTTTTTTTATTTCTAATACCGATGTAGTCGTCAAATTTCTCAAAACTGTCAACAAAATTGGGTAATTTCATGTGTGATTTGTCTTACAATAGAACCGTATGCGTGAGAAAGGTCGGTATAAAATATAAAGTTCATGATGTATATGAAGAAAGGAATTTTGACGGAATTATAATGAAGCTAAATAAGTCGGAGTTTTAATTCCACTAATTCTCTAAATCCGATCGTAAATACATTACAAGATTATGAAGCTTTCTTTGAAACTAAGGTCCACTTATCGTAATATTTCATAGAGATAGGGTGTCAGAAATTCAGTAAGATACTCAACAGGGGGAAAAGGTCAATATACCAAAGTAATTATCATAGTACATATGGAACGGTCAGATTATAGAATTTTTTCTTATATAATATAAATTTCATCGAGTTCAAAGAGAGTAAATCGAGCGCAAACTGACTAATATTAATAAGAGTCCGAGCTATGACTTATTGTCATTTTGTTGGAGTTCCGCTAATTTGAACCTTTTCAAAACAAAGTAAATACTTTTAACCGTTATTAAAACTACGACAACTCCTTTTTATTTAAGCTTACCAGTTAGATACCGGGTTTAATCTGTGTGATAAAATCCATATCACCCACAGTGTATTTAACCACAGATTAACCACTGTGTGGGTCATGTAGCTCTGTCCAACTATTTTCATGTGCAAGTTTTTTATGTTTCCGTAATTTTGTTAATTAACATTAAAGCTTACTGTTGCGTTTTGTTTTAAATAGCATATTTCTCGATTCAAATATCATTATTTCTCTAAAATTGTTAACAATTTATCAGCAAAATGGACTAATAACATGAATCAATTTTTCTTTGAGCAGCGTTCGCGTAGCCGTTGAAAGTCTGACTTTATTTTTTACGTGTGTCTTTTCCCGCGCTACAGCATTATACATATTATAAGGCATAAAATAAAAAGAAAATTTGCTGGTTTTGAGTGAATATGATATACATGTATATCACACAACGAAGTGAGAAAAATATCCACCTTTTCACTCGCGCTAACCCGCCACTCCCGCAACCTACAGACACAAGCCCTATCGTTCCCGCCACCACTATCATCATCATCAAATGATAATTTTAACTAAAGCCTTAAATTAGATTGCACTATTTACAAAAATACAAATTTGACTGACACTGAAATTAAAAGATGGAAAATTGTAAGATTGTTACTTGAATGATTTACGCTGATATTCTATATTTATGTGGGAAAAAAATAATGTATTATTATTATAATTTTGACTGTAATTACCGTTTTAAGTCATGTCGATACAAAACGGCAACCGTAAAAAAATCACTTTAAAGAAAAAAAAGTTGTATAAACTTGTATCAGATCCATACCGTGTGAAATGCACTTTGTATATCGCTTAAAGTATTTCATTGGCACATTACAAGTTACTTTGATCTTCATCCAACAATCACATTTAATACATCAAATTGTAAGTCAGGGAATTTAAATGCAATGTCACGTAAGAACAAATTAACAAGAGCATGGACCAAGCTGAACTAAATACCAAATTTCCGTGTCATTCTGGTAGTTAGAAATTATCCATTGAATGGTTGTTAATTGCTAATAAAAAGAAAAGAAAAAAAAAGAAAACATAATTTGAGCCGCACCATGACAAAACCAACACAATGCGTTTGCGACCAGCATGGATCCAGACCAGCCTGCGCATCCGCGCAGTCTGATCAGGATCCATGCTGTTCGCTTACAGACCCTATAACAAGTAGAGAAACTAATAGTGAACAGCATGGATCCTGATCAGACTGCGTGGATGCAACACCAAATGTATGAAAGAAATATGTTGGCATATAAATTTCCTTATGAGCGAATGACGCATGCACAGAATCATGGCTTAACAGTTAAAAACCCTCTAAAGTAGTGTTCCTGAACATTTTATTCTGATTACATACATTTTTCATCTGTGTTAAATAGAAGAGACAAGTTTCAAATCTTTCGATACTTTACCATAAGGATAACAATAAAATTTTACCATTTATAAATTTTACAGGAAAAAAAATCATTAAATACAGCGTTTTACCCCTAAAATCTAAATGTTGCTTTCTGTAACGAATGTTCAGAAAATGTACAACAGTCCATGTACTATATTGTAACCGGGCGCCGGATACAGTACATATACATGTACAGTTATCATTAATACTACTCTGTTAACAAGATGCTGTCTATTCTATTGCTATAATATATATACCATATTTATTTGCAGGATTTCGAACTCAAGGATGAGCGAGCACTGTGCTCTACCGCCACTGTCAAGGAATGACAGCTTTATTGCACCAAAATCTAGAAGAAACAGTAGACGAGGGTCTATTAGACAGAAAGATAATCAGGACAATACACCAGTAACGCGATTCAAAGAACTCGTAAGCGAGGACGTGTACCTGATGGATAACAAGACAAGGAAGATTAACACTAATCTGCTGGCTAACAGCTTAACAGCGCGTCTGCGTAGAAATCTACCAGATGGTACTGTTGAAAATGAAACCATTCAGAAATTAAGACGTGATTCTTTAAAAGATTTTGTTCACCTTGACAATTTAGAGAAGCAATATGCAAGTGAACTTAGTCGAGAATCAAGCAGATTGGATAAGGAATCACTACAAGTATTGAAGCGTCAAAAACAAATGCAAAGACAGAGTGAAGTTCAAAAGCGGAAACTAGATAGATTAGAATCGTCTATGAGATCTAGATCAGGCTTGAGCTCAGCTTCTTTGTTCCCACTTATCATGACCAACGGTACCGATAGTGTGGAGCAAGAAACGGAAACATTTCCACAATTCGCGTCCGTGGATAAAGATGACCAGTCACACGTTAAAGTTTTCAAACTAAATGGAATATATCAGCCGACAAATAAATACTCTAGTCGTATAGAACCTTTAGACATATCCCCAAGAGATAAACCAGCAATTAAAGAAAACAACATACAGGAGTCGTTGAAACTAGCAGACACCGGAAGTCCCTCAGACTTATCGCCAAAATCAAGAATGAGTAAGAAAGGCTTGCGAGTTTCGTGGAGTAGACAAAGTAAATATTACCCAGATGGTAGAAGTGAAGTAGACAATATTAGATCACCATCCGTCGCAGACACGCGCGCAGATACGCGCATGTCTCAATATGACGTGCGTTCTGACGCCAATAGTCCAGATCGTGAAAAAGCAAATAAAACACCAACAAAACGAACATTTAACAGCCGTTTAAGTTTTCGAAGTGACACGTTTTTGCTTCAGAGTAAATTAAGACCGAAGGGACGTCGAAAAATTGAAACAATTGGTCTGAAATGGAAAATACCTCCTGGTGTTGATGCCCATCAAATCATCGAAGAGGCACCACCACGTCCAACAGTAAAGGCGGGAACACAACGTTTGTCTCATAACCTTATGCCAGTAACGACTGCTTTAGCAAAGGAAGGAATGTCAACAAAGAAAACGTGCTGGCAGGTGAAGAAAGTTCAATCACTGTCAACTATAGAGATGTATAAAGCATGGCTAGAAAAGTTAGAAATGTTGAAAAACAACGAGTCTCGGGACAGAACAAGAAATTTACATAGTAGAGCTACTGTTATGACGCAACCAGTTTGATGAATATGTCTCTTCTAGTACACCATATATTTTTAACTATGTTTACCGTAGCATTATAAAAAATACATGTAAGATGTCATAACAGCTAACTGTTTCTCTAGAGGATTGTATATGAAAGTGTTAACTCAGAAAACTAAGTACATGCATCCTAAACAAGTGGTATGATTGAGATCGTGTGGTTTTTGACGAACATGTAAATCAACAAATGTTTTCTATTTCAAATTCTTTGCTAATGTCTTCCAATAAAACATACGTATAACCGGTTCCGATGCAGACCATTTGACTAATTTACATAACGAAGTTAAAATGGAGAGAAATAAGAATCCCTCAAGAAAGCCCAACACGGCAAAGGCTGTTTTAGATTTTGGACTGAACAAAACAATTTCCAGATTCATGCTTTTGATAGAAAGATGTGTTGTGAATAGTTTTAGCTGATCACAGAATACAATTAACTCATAAGATTGAATCTGTTTTGCGTGAACGCATAAAGTTCCAGCGTTATTTGAGACAGCAAAGTAGTATTTGAGTGTACGAATTGCGACTTGTATTTACTATGATTATTTCAAAACTTTAATATCTAAATGTGTTTGATAGCAAAAACAATAATTACGTTATTGTTTGAAAAACAATATATGTAAGTTATATGTGATTATATTTGTGTATGTATAAATGCTGGTATTTTGGTATGTTTACTCTTAAATATGTTGCAATACATGATCTAACAGTGCTCATATGTCAACTTATTTTTATCTATTTATAAAGGTAAATGGCATTTACAACTTAAAGATACAAATAAATGTGCTTTAACTTAATAAAAAAATGCGACACAAAAATACATGTAACTGATATACACCATTTATTAAATAATATTATAATTTTATAGAATAATATACTAGAAATAATTGCTGAATATATATAAAGAAAGCAAGGGGTCATGTTTGATGCAAATATGTGTCTATAGCTTTGATGAAATTTACCCTGTAATAACGCTTGGATTGTACAGCCATAACTTAATAGCAATTTGTGAAAATATGTGAAACAAGTACCATCACAAAAATAATCTTGTGTGGAAATTTAAGAACTATTTGAGCCGCGTCACGACAAAACCAACATAGTAGGTTTGCGACCAGCATGGATCCAGACCAGCCTGCGCATCCGCGCAGTCTGATCAGGATCCATGCTGTTCGCTTACAAACCCTATAACAAGTAGAGAAACTGATAGCGAACAGCATGGATCCTGATCAGACTGCGCGGATGCGCAGGCTGGTCTGGATCCATGCTGGTCGCAAACCTATTATGTTGGTTTTGTCGTGACGCGGCTCATTTTTTCATTAGCTTTTTACTTTACTGAATACTTACAACGTATGGATTATTTTCTGCATTCATTAAAGCTGCAGAAAATCAACATTAAGGATATGTACATGTACTTAGATTTTAAGGCAAGTACAGGTAATAATTTACATGTTAATTACATTATATGAAAAATATTTGATCACATGGCTGGGTCAACAACAGTTTCGCCTACTATTGACCTGAATCATCTTAAAACAAATATTGTGAAAGATTCATTTTTTTTAAATCTCAGTTAACTAGGGTCAACATCTTGCAGAACTCAAAACATTTTGATACCAAGGAGAGGTCCATATCAAAGTTCTTATCGAAAGACAAAATAACGAAATAACCTGTTTTAATCTTAATTAAAACTGCAAACTGAAACCATTTGATTTTCAATGGATTTGTCAGTAATGCAAGGGGATTGCACACCTTTTTCAATAAATAGTGTCTTTACATTTTATTGCAATGTTTTGTTCTAAACTGGTAGTGTTTAAGATATCTTTAAGAAATGAGCAGTGGGGAAATATACATCAAAATTGTCCAAAACTGGAATTCACTGTAATGACCAACCTAGGCTATTAGTCGGTTTAATAAGTTCTCTCACACCGTATCAAAGACTTGACACGCGTCAGACAGAAATATTACAAAATGTTAACAAGCCTGATCGTCAACATTATAAAAACTGTAGGTTAAAGCCATATTTAGGAGCGCCCTATAAACTTTTCCGCACGTCCTTATCTCACAACTATTTGCATCATTATAAAAAGCCGTCGGATTTTAATGAAAGCGACTTAAACATGGAGATCAGACACGTACACTTAGTTTGTGTAGGATACATTATTTGGTTTTACACACTGCTTACTGCTGCAGCTTTCACAAATGAGGATACCTTGAAAATAGTTCTCTCAGAATTAGAAGATTTAAAGATGAAGGTCAACACATGCGAGAAGAGAATGGTCATCAACGACCACAAGCTAATGGCGGTCACCAATGAACAGAGATTACTAGTAGCTAACATGGAAGAAAGACTTCTCGCTGCAGAGGAAAATCTTAAAACTACCGCAGAATTATATGAGAAAAAGTTAGCCAAGTCAGACAGTAAACTCCGTGCCGTTGAAAGGAAACTTACAGTGTTTGAGGAGATGTACGGTCGCTTATCAAACAAAGGAGAGCCAATTAAAGACGTTGGGGAAACTGATTTGAACGTGAATACCACCGATTTTGACGGGGAAAATAGAAAACACAGTGCTGATGAAGAGAAGTTAGCATCCCTAAATGGGTTCCATGTTTCTGAAACGGTATATGACAGCACTTTAGGGGAATCTCTGTTGACAGATACTGACAATAACCACGGAGATATAAGGGACACTAACAACATCGACAATACACGACGCTCATATACTCAAAAATCAGAAAGGGGTAACAAAACTTAATTAGTAGATAAAGATCGTTTTGAAAACTCCTATTTAATCATAAATTAATTCAGTAGTGTTCAAAGACATCATATAATACAAATATAAACATGTATTTATATATACAGCAATGCCATGATAATGCAATAGTTTTTTTCTCATTTTAGCATCGCATACCATATATCATAAGCGACTTGTGAATCCAGCTGTCAACCATCGTGTTGCCTTCACAGCGCACTTATCAGTCGACAAAGCTACCGAACTTGGGAAAGAGCACACAATTCCCTTTAATCAACTCCTGTTAAACGAAGGCCAGGCATATGACGCTATCACAAATACGTTCATATGTCCAGTGAACGGTATATACATCTTTCAATCAGCTTTAATGAGTCCTTTACAGGAACGTATCCAAACTGAAATGGTAATAAACGGTGCATGTATTGGTAGAATGTATGCGAACGGTGCAAGTAATGGATATGATCAGGGATTTAATTCTGCAACTGTACAATGCAATAAAGGTGATCACGTGTGGGTCAGAGTACACTATCATTATGGCACCAGCATTTATAATCTATTATATTCTTCGTTTTCTGGACACATCCTATGGGAAACATAAATACTTCCTTTCAATTATTTTAATGCCCTTATCACTTTTTTCAATTAGTAATTTGAAATGTATTAAAGACAAATACATGTATGTTTGGAATAACACATGTATATAATAAACATGCAAAGTCGCGAATTCTTTTGTGATTTTATTGACAATTACACCAAACAAACAAAACTGAGCACTATGAAGCAAACTATCTCTTATATCATAGTTTGGAGATATTTTAAAGCTACATGCCTCCAAATAAGTTAAAATATTTCAATAAATGCAAACTTGAGAAGAAATTTACTAAGATTGTAGAAAAGTAAAAAGATTCAAGATTCAAGTAATAATTTCAATTATTTTTTGGATTAATTACTAAATTTTTTAGGGTTTTAATTTATTTCTTTTGGTTTACAAAAGCAGCAAGGGTTTTTTGTTATAGTTTTTTCCCCTTTTTTTGGGAATTACGTGTGTTCATGGGAATTGATAAAGGGTTTTTTCAAATTTACACAATTTAAAAAACATTTTTCCCAAAATTTTTTTGAAAAATTTTCAAAGAATTTTGGAGGCCCTGCTGCTTTTTAAGGGCGTTTTCCCACCCATACACGCACAAGGGGCGTTTAACTGGAGTTTCCCAAATAATTAAAAAAATCGAAATGGGCCTATTTTGAAATAATTTAAGCTTTCATTTCCCTGCATTTCCCACAAACACAGCCCTTTTCATTTGATTGAAGAAGAATCCAAATTTAAATTTTAAAACATGTTTGGGCAACGGAAAAGAAGAAAAAAAGAAAGCCAAAAAAAAATAAATTGAAAATAGGGTTTTTTCGGTTTTTATAAAGAGGTGGGAGTGGGGTTTTTCAAAATTCCAAAAATTTCTGCCCGGCTAAAAGCATTTAATTTGGGGAAAATTTCTGAAAATTTGTATTTTAAAAACATTCCGGCGTTGAAGAAAAGAAATTTTAAAGAACACGAAAAGTGTTCCATTCTTGAATGTGACGCCCTGGGGTTTCCCGTAAAAGAATGCCCCTGATTTTTAAAAAAAATTTTAAATTTTTAAAAAACACAATTTTTTAAATTTGTTATATTGTGTACTTAAAAAAAGGGAAAATTATTGGGAGGGTTTTTTCTATCCTATCACAAAAAAGAATAAGTAACCCTTAAAAGTAAATGTGTTTTTTAAAAACGCTTCCCAGTGCTTTTTTGTCTTTTTAAAATTTCTTCTTTTTTAACAATTATTTCAAAACTTCAATAACACTATGTGTGCTGCTTTTTTCTTTTTAATATTAGAAATTATTATGTTAAAATGATAGAAATTCGGTAATCTATGAGTACTTGTTAAAATGTGGCAATACATGAACTTACAGTATTTATATGTATACTTGTTTTTTTTCTATCTACAATTTACATTTAAGTAATGACATCAACACATATGCCTGTTCTAAGACTAATAAAAAACAAGGGCTCGTTTTGTCGCAAAATACGCCCATCATTAAAAAATTTCGACAGAGATGTCGGCATTATAGATATACAAATAGGAGATATGCTCTGGGCAATATCCGGACAATATCTGGAATTGTGATCACAAAAGCTCACCTAGTCACTTTGTGAAAGGTGAGCTAAAAACTAAAATATAGGTCACTAGGTCAAGATATCTCAACTGATATATGAGTTCAACTCTATATCAGAGACCATGCTTAAGGTCCAAAATTTATAGCTGTATGTCAAATAACTAACAAATTTTTACTTAATGCATGTAAGGAAATCCCATGGAGGCCCCGCCCCATCCAAGGGCAAGGCGTATTTTGACCACAAGGCTATAATTTGATCGATCTTTGTAGCTGTCCACTATAGTCTGTCCCACCAGATTTGAATATTTCATTTTTTATTAAATATAATAGTAAATTCATTTACATTAATGTCATGTTAACCCTGACGTCAATATCTCTAGGCATGTTTTTCACATTTTTCAAAAAGTCAGTAATATTGTCAAAATGTTAGAATTATTTTTTCCCGTTGACTTACGTTGTTACTTGACGTGACGTCCATATCAAAATGGTTGCGCCATTACTGACGTCGTGTAGGGTTCGTCTCATAATAAGCGTGAAATTTAAATCGGTTATTATAAAAATTTGATTATTCTTATTTACTTACTGATCAATAAACCTTTTACAATACGATTTTTCAATAGTAATGCGTAGGACAAAAAAGCAATAACGATGACCACAATTTATCATATTTAAAAGCTTTAAAAGACGTTAATCAACAAATGTTTTCTATTTCAAATTCTTTGCTAATGTCTTCCAATATAGCATACGTATAGTCGGTTCGACTTATTTACATAACGAAGTTAAAATGCTGTATTAAATAAGTGACTAAACAAAACAATTTCCAGATTCGTATTTTTGATAGAAAGATGTGTTGTGAATAGTTTTAGCTGATCACAAAATGCAATCAACTCAAAAGACTGCATCTGTCTTGCGTGAACGCATTATTTGA